ACTCCTTTTCATAAGTAGAAAATGCCTTATGCTTCTCAGATAGGGCTTTACTTAAGAAGGCAATGGGGTGTTGATTTTGGGATAACACTACTCCAATTCCCAAATCAGATGCATTCGTCTCTATTTCAAAAGGAATATGAAAATTAGGAAGAGCAAGAACTGGAGCTTGACTCATAGCTTCTTTTAAGATATTAAATGCGACTTCAAATTCTGTTCCCCACAGAAATGCATTCTTCTTCAGGAGATTTTTTAAGGGCTTGCTCAAAAGTCCATAATTCTTAATGAACTTCCTGTAGTATCCCGTAAGTCCCAAGAAACCCTTGAGTGCCTTGATGTTCTTTGGGCTGGGCCAGTTTACCATGGCAGTGATTTTGTCCGGATCAGTTGCTACCCCATTCTTATTTGCCAGTATCCTTACCCTAGATCAATTTTGGAGAAGACCATGGACCCATGCAATTCATCAAGGAGTTCCTCAATGATTGGAATGGGAAATTTATCCTTGATAGTGTGTTTGTTCAGCTCCCTATAATCAACACAGAATCTCCAAGTCCCGTCTTTCTTCTTTATCATAACAACTGGGGCAGAATATGGGCTTTGGCTATGCCTAATGATTCCCAAGTGCAACATCTCTTGAGTAATCTCTTCAATAGCATTTTTCTGTATGACAGGTACCTATAAGGCCTGACATTGATGGGAGCAGTTCCTGGTTTAAGGTGTATTTGATGATCATGTTCTCTATGAGGGGGCAATTGTTTTGGTTCATCAAATATCTTCTTAAACTCCTCCAATATCTCATGTATTATTGCAGGTGTTTTTGTATTCATATCCCTATCAGAATGTTCTCTTGGGTGTATATGCATCACAAAGAGTTGTCCTCCTGTTTGATTCCAAGATTTTCTCATCTCCTTATTCATCTGTTCTCCTTGAATTAATTGTAACCTGCCCTTGTTACTGCCTCTTAACACCACCTTCTTATTGAGATATTTGAACTCCATAATTAAGTCCTTGAAGTTCCAGTTGATCTGGCCCAATGAAGCTAACCATTGTATGCCTAGTACCATTTCACAGCCTCCCAAAGGTACTACCATAACATCCATTTTGAATTCATGATTATGAATCTTCCAATGGAAGTTATAGCAAGTCTGGTTGCTAACTAATTTTTCACCATTAGCAACAGAAATTTCCAAAGGGGCAGACTTAGATATTTTACAGCCCAGTCTTCTAGCCGTGTGGAAATCCAAAAAATTATGGGTACTCCCGGAGTCAATCAGGATGTATAGATCATTGTTTCTGAACCTTCCAGTAACTCTCATAGTTTGGTATTGAGGTTGTCCAGTTATAGCATTTAAGGAAATGAGAGGCTGCATGTCCAATTCTTCTAAACTATCCTCCAGTTTCTTTCAAATTGAAGGATTTCATCTTCTTCTTCTTCCTTCCCCCGTGTTCCTTCACCATTATCTTCAGAGCCAATAGGAAGGATTTGCAATTTGTACAATTGGGCTTTGCAAGTATGACCAGGATGATAGTGTTCATCACAAAAAATAGAGATTTCCTTCTTCTTTCCTCAATATCAGTTGTGTTCATCCGTTTTCTTTCATTAACATTGGTGTTTCCAGACAACTTGGATTCAATTGGTACTCTGGACAGAACCCCTTTATTACCTGTATAGGGTATGCTTCTAAGAGGTTGGATACCCCTATTCTCATGATTCTTATACACAGGTCTATCATGATCAATTTTGCCCAATTTCTTCAAAGCCTCCAAGCTATTTTCCTGTAAACGAGCATATTCCATGGCCTGAAGCACAATTCTAGGTTTGAAAGCTTTTAAGAAATGTTTAATAGTTGGATTAAGTCCACCGATGAAAATGTCCAAACAAGTCTTCAGGCAACCTATCTGCTCTTTGTAATAACAGCCCTCTGAGTTGTTCAAAGGAGTCCATATATTCGTCCAAGGATTTCAATTGTTGAAGTTTCTTGAAATCTTCAACTATGGTACTCCCTAATTCTTCATTGAATCTCGCACATATATCTATGACAAATTGCTCCCAAGACACCCTTCCATGAACATATATATATATAGCTATTGTACCAAGGTTCAGCCCTTCCCGTAAGGTATGAAGAAGCCATATCAACTTTTTGAGCATTCTCAATTGCACATAATTCAAAATATTTCACACACTTCTCGATCTAACTTCTAGGGTTACTACCAGAGAAATTAGGAAACTCAATTTTTGGAAGAAATCCAAAGCTTCAGTTATGATTACCTGAGTTTGAGAATGAATTTCCATGTGCTGTTTGAATCACCGGTGAGCTGTGTACTGATTGGTGATTTATCTCTTCGTTCCTCTTTTGCAGAAGCACCAACAGTGCATCTAACTTCTGGTTTGTCTCAGAGAATTTCTCTTCATTCTGTTTGATCTGTTCTTCAACTAGACGTTCCAGGCCGCGGACTTTATCTTCCATCATCGCTAAAAGCGTAGCAACAGTGACTTTCTTCGCTAGGATTCTGATAGATGTAACTCGTAGAACTGTGTTCGTTGATGGAGTTAAAGCTGAAAATGGAGCTCCGATACCAATTGTAACGCTCTAGGAATTTAGATTTGAAGAACGAACAAAACGTAGGAATTTTTAGGATAGAAAAGAATTCGAACAAGATAAGAAATGAGTAGTTTCAAAGATGGAGAATCAATATTGAGAGCTGAATATCTTTCTTATTACAAGTATACGCATATATTCTGAGCCACTAAACAACTTCAACGAATTAGTTTTAACTAACTCAACTAATTCGTATTATACGTATATATACAAGCCTATACGTCCTATTACTGTAGCTGACGTAATACACACATGTAAGCTTCAAGTCCAGGTGTATAACAGGGGTTTCCATATTTTGGTTTACGACAAAGTTCAATTGCCGAAGAAACTGAGGCCGGAAAAGATGAAGCTTGATAACAAGCTTGAATGGGATAGAGCTTTTATGCGAACCCGAAAATGGGGGAAGCTTGATACGAAGGTCGGTGAAATTGAGGCGAGATAAATGCAGGAGGAGATGAGCGGAGTCACAGGGTGGACCGGTTCCGGTTCGGGCCTGGGCCCGGCCGGGCCTCGGTTCAGGAATGGGAGGCCCGGAACCGGCCCGGGTAATCCCGGGTCTGGGCCGGGCCTCAGTTCTATTTTTTTGGCTTTTCATAATTAACTCCCAACCCCCCCCCCCCCCACCCCAAACCACATGAAATAGCCCAAAATACCCAGTCCAACCCAAAAACTTAAAAAAAATTCAAAAAAAAAATTAATTTGGCCTGAACCGGCCGGGCCGGTTCACCAATCCTAGGGCCAGAGGCCGAACCGCTTTCCTACCGGGCCGGGTCGGGCCGGCCCCAACCGCCCCCCGGACCGGTTCCAGGGCCGGGCCGGGCCGGTTCAAACAGTAACCGGGCCGGGCCGGTTCCGGGCCGGGCCGGTTCCGGGCCGGGCGGCCCGGCCCATCCCTAAGCGGAGAAGGAAATGGGAATGGAGAAAATGGCACTAAAGAACAATTGAGATTTCTTGTTAGCAACGATTGGGATTTCATTAGCTGTAGGCCGGAACGCCGTTCAATGAGCAGTAAAAAATTGTTTTGCTTTTATGTATTAGATGTCTAGAAATTTCGGAGAAGTGTCTAAAAGTTTACAAATAATCTTCAAATAATCCATATTTAAAATTTGATACCAAATTCTTTTTAACAAATAATCTCTTTAAATAATCCCAACATCTCAACCATAATCTCATAAAATATCATCCGCATCATCAAAATAATCCTTAGATGTGGATGCCCTGACAGAATCAGGATAGGGGGAATCAAAGTCCCGATCTCAAGACCAAACCGGTACAGGCCAGTTTTTCACCAAGGCTGAAAATTAAAGTTTGTGACTAGGAACGAGACCGGAATTGCAAAAAAAGGGTCCTACTCACAGACCACACTCCAATTCCTTTTCTCAAAACCATCGAGAATCAAATAAAAAGGGAAAAATTGACAAGAATAATCCTACATTTCATTGGTGTTCTCATAATAATCCTACATTTTCATAATCCAAGAATAACTTCACCTTTACACCACATCTTCTTTCATTGGACCCTAACATATTGATGACCTACTATACCAATTTTTTTTACCTTTTCTTTGAAAATCATATAAATGATTTCACTTTTCACTTTTTTATTATATTTTTTTAAATGTGGGATTATTTATACAAGATTTTGGATAAAAAACCTAGTATAGTTGATCATCAACAGATCAGAGTCTAATGAAAGAAGATGAGGTGCAAAGGTAGAATTATTCTGAAATTATGTAAGAGATATGAGATATTACCCAAAATGGGACTAAAAAAGTTTGAAAATTCCAAAATAGGACTTTCATGTTTTTATTCTCAAAATAGGACTAATTACTGCCATGTTTTGGCAGTACCAGAATTCAAACATGGCAGTATTTTTCAAATTTGGCAGTAATTAGTCCTATTTTGAGAATAAAAAATGACAGTCCTATTTTGGAATTTTCGAACTTTTTTAGTCCCATTTCGGGAACTCTCCCATTATGTAAAGGTGGGTTATTAAGAGAAAATAGAAAAATGAGATTATTCTTATCAATTTTTCCAATAAAAAAGGTGGGGATCAATTTAAAAGCCTAAAAAATACCGAGTACAAAAACTGGGACAGAATCGGTGGTGGTGGGGGGGGGGGGGGGGGGGGGGGCAATTTGTGAACCACAACTGGCTTAGTCGGGACCATGTGCATGCCTAAATCAGGAGCTCAGGGCCATCCAATGTTTGGCCCAAAAACCAAAACTGTCCATGGTTCTAAATATCATCAAGACTGGAACCAAGTATGACTGGGCATGACAGATAGCTTACAGCCTTCGGAGGACCGACAACCCAGATCAAAACCCAAATTGGATCGTGTCCAACCGGAGTACCTGCTCCTACCCCCCCCCCCCCCCCCTCCCCAAGTATTTAAAAATGAACAAAATGAAAGCCAATCAACTTCATTCATCCATCCATTCATTTGAGACCATAACTTAAGTACAGGCCAAGGCCAAGGGTACTTTGAATGGTGAAGCATTTGTACCAATTTGACATTCTTTAAAAATAATATTCATCAAAATCAGAGTCAGAATCTTCATCAAAGTCGTCGTCATTATCATCTACTTCTATGAGGTTGTCCTCATTCCAAAGAGGGCAGGAACATGTTTGTTTCTTGTTTCTCCATTCTGCTCCACAAGTGTAACAAAACTCATACCCGCATCTGTTAACATGATTAAAAAAGAATAGATCAATCTGTCCAAAACCTACAGTTACATGATATATAATGCAAAAAAGGGATGAATGGAGGTTTACCATTACCTTCAGGGTCCATATAATTAGTCAACCAAATCAGTTTCACATCCAAAAATAAAAATAAAGGGAAAACTATCAAATAAGCCCCCATACTATACCGAAAAAGTCGATTAGGCCCTCGTACTTTACAAAAACTCAATTAAGTCCTTGAACTATTAAAAAACGTTCAATTAAGCCCTTTTGGTCGATAAGTAAACAGTTTCCCGGTTAAATGTAACATGCTTCCCGGTAGGCGCCGTTGCTGGGGTTCGAGCACATCATCTCCGTCGTCGCCGTTTAACCGAGAAACCGGTTACTTACTGACCAAAAGGGCTTAATTGAACGTTTTTTAATAGTTTGAGGACTTAATTGAGTGTTTCTAAAGTACGAGGGCCTAATCGACTTTTTTGGCATAGTACGGGGGCTTATTGGATAGTTTTCCCAAAAATAAAATACTACCTCCGTCCCTTAAAACTTTGCCAAGTTTGACTGGCACGAGGATTAATAAAGTAAAAACTGTGTGGTTGAGGTTTGTGCAGAGGAGAGAGAATTAACTGGAACCACAAATTCTTTACTTAAAAGGGAAAGTGGCAAAGTTAATGGGACATCCAAAAAAGGAAAGTTGGCAAAGTTTCAAGGGACGGAGGGAGTATGTTATAATGACATCAACCAAGGTAACATACTTAGTTTTAAAAGGCGTGGGGCGTGACAAGGCATTTTAGGTAAATTTAGCAGCCGAGACGCGAGGCACAAAGTGGAGGCGCGCACCTCACGGAACATAGGCACACATCTTTCCTATAGTGCTGGTTCGTGATATGTTATACTCCAACACAATAATATAGTTACATTATCATCAAATAGATAAACACATAATAGAAATGCCATGAGCAGCCAACATAAATTCCACATTTCATGATGAAATGGTCAAACAATAACAATAGAAACAAAATGAACTTCAGATTCAAAAGTTCACAACCGAAATAAAAGCAAAGTAAGAAGCTAAGCGATGAAACCATAGAAACATTTAACTAAAACTAAATAAAAATGACCTAAAAATAGTAGTCTATTAACAGAAAGAAAGGAATTGAAAGTTAAGTTTGTAGTAGCATGTAAAACAAATACAGCTGGCACGGCCCCATGAGGTAGTAGAAAAAGAAGAAGAATTGGAAGTAAGGAGAAGGAGAAGGAGAATACTCATGTAGGCCCCATGAGGTAATAGAAAGAGAAGAAGAATCGGAAGGATAAGGAGAAGAAGAATACTCACGTAGGCCGTAGAATTGTAGATATGAGCTGCTGTGATGTTGTTCAGAGGAATAGAAGGAGAGTCAAATTGCCGATAAAGAAGATAGAGAGCCATTTCTGGTTTGTAGGTAGTGCATGCTCAGTATTACATGTAAGGCTTAAATATGTTTTTAATCTGTGAAAATATAGTGATTCTTGTGTTACAACCCTATTAAATTATTTTTTTTGTTTTTCATCCCTCTAACTTATGTTCTTTTTCTTTGTAGTCTGTCACTGCTCATAACAACCTCTCCGTTTGACCACCGAACAACCTTAACTAATAGATCTCCCATCATTGTTTATCATGTCATAAAAAAATAAGTAATTTTATTTTCTCTAGGGTCTTACAACCTATCTTAAAAACATGATATCGTTAGAGTTTTACATTGTTTTCATTCCAATATTAGCCTCCAATAAGTTTTTTATCCTAAATGGAGATGGTCTTGAAGTTAGAGTGGACTAAAAAGAGAACAATGCATATTATAGAGTTCAAAACAATATATTGCAGGGATGTATAACAAAATATACTTAAGCCTGCATTTAATTAATAGATGAATAGAATTAAACCCACGACTTGAAAGAGGAAAATTTTAAACCTATGGCCACAAAGCAGCAGAGGTGAGAGCCTCATGATGCACGTGTAAGCAGCTTGAAGCGAGCAATTGTCAGTGCCTTCTAGAATTTACTGCACCCTAAGATGTCGATGCAAATTTTCTGGCGCATCCAGGGGCCTTGCGCCTGCCCTTTTTCAAACTAAGCTTAGTAGCATATCACATATCACTAATGAACACTAATAGGCTTTTACAACCAGCAGATGCACACATGCACATATTTAATGTATAAACATCCCCACACGTTCTGACATCCCATTAAAGATAAACTAACCACTCTTACTTTTCCTTTTGATCTTGGTAGCAAAAGGGCAAGCATACAGGGAGAAAACTAACCATTAGGAGTGGAGTTGTCTAACTGATGATGATACATTTGTGAGTGAAGCTTCAACATATATGATCTTGATGGTAACATGTTCGATATGGAAAACATCATCCAACATTAGTTTAGGACTATTCCCACATTTTATCGTGTTCATTATGATTACCCAATTTCAGGACTTTTAGGATGAGAAATTCAAAAGACACCAGAACTTATCAGTTATCATATGTAGATCACACTCTCCCAGATTTGGTCCTTTCAAGAGAAATTGTTTTAGTTAATTTGTGTTTGTTATTGCTGAACCAAACACTATAAGCATAAAAATAGCCTAGCTACCTAGATGAGAGTTCAAATGTATAAATAAGCACAACTGCACCGAAAAAAACAAAATTAGACAACAGTCACAACACGTAATCCACAAGTGATGGAATCAAGCAGAGTTTGAATTTTTTTAGGAAGTTCTTAGATTGTGCAAAATTGATGAATTAGGGCGCCAAAGATGAGAATCATCCACGCACATTACCAGATTTGATAATGATCCGACATACGGGATCTTTGGGTAGCATCTAAAAGTTACGAGACCAAGCACGTATTTTTTTCCTGGCAATATATGAGCAGAAACGCAACCAGGACAACTTGAGGTATCCCTCTGAATCAAGTTAATACTAATAGCAGATTTCATATTTTGCGTCAAACAAAAAGATCTAGAGGATGATACTACCTGCAAGTCATGTGGTAGCACCCAGCAGCTAATTCGATCATATGACTGCATTTCACACACTGTCTCCACAGATTCAATGCAGCTAAACTCTTCAGCTTCACATCTTCTTGGGTCCCCGGATTTCTTCTCCGGTACTCATAGCAATTCATCCCACAATGCCACGTAACTTTGCAATTAATACAGAACTGACCATTGCATTGTGTGCATACCCTAGCTCCCGACGTGTCAACATTTATATTTGTCCCTCTAGAATACTCCAAAACCTCTCTTCTTGACATCAGGGCAGAGCACTTGGGAAAAGGACAATACACTCTTTCCCCAACAGGGATAGAAGCTTCCTTGATTCGTAGATTCAAGAGGGGAATAAGCTTAGGTGTCAAAATTTTACAACAGCTATCAGTTCTCAGTTCTGAATTACACCGATCTTGAGGACATTTAGGTAACACCCCACTAAGCAATTTCACTTCCATGTGTTGCTTCATGCAAGAGATGCAATATCGATGCAAGCAACCATCAACAATGAAAATATGGCTAATTTCTACTTCCTCTAAGCAAATCACACAAGACTCATATACATTCTTAGAGGTAGAAGAGCCTTGCTGTTTCATGATTTGAGAATTCAATGCTTCTCGTGCAAATTTGAAGACAAACTTGATTTCGTTCCGGGGCACGAGAACTGGGCGGCACAGTGTAAATCTTTCTCTTAATAGATTCACTTGATTCCTTAATGCCGCAACCTTTCTCTGTTTAGGAGTCCATTGACCTGTTACCTGTTCTTCCCATAAACAGTTTCCAGTCAAACTTTTCTACAAATTGTCCTATGAACTGATAAAAAACTTCATACATGGGATGTAACAGTGAAGGGATTGTAACACTATTATGCATTTTCCCACGTTTCCCTATCTTAAAGTATTCCATTTATTGAATATGCTAAATTTCTAGTTGCGTGTTTATATTAAGATGCATTGAGTATTGACTTATCTTTATATACTCTGGAGATGAATCCACTCCATAAAACAGTTCCATATATTGAAGAATTTATTCAAATTCTATATATTTGGATCTGCTTTTCAGAACGGATGACTGCACTCATCCACGGAGACATGGATGAAACCACTCATCCAGGGCATAGAAGCTAAATTACTTGTGAAGTTGAAACCTTTTGACCATTTTCTATAAGAACCACTTTGAAACAGCAAATAACCCATATTGTCTGATGTGATCCTCTACTCACAGAGACATGGATTATAAACCATGCCAGATATTATATTGAGAATCACTTTTTCATACATGAGTAACTTTGAGTCTGAAGTCTGGTTCAAAGAAGGAATGAGAATCAGATTCAATTTCAAACACCCCATATTCATATTATCACTTTTTTCTTTTTCATAGCTTCCAATCCTTCCATCATATTATATTCCAGACTGTGGGGAAAGCAGTATTTGACAAATATCCAACACGTGAGAGAATTAAATAGTAAAGAAGACTCACAAAATTGTATATGCACCGGACATCGCAATGAAACACAACACTCTTTAAATCCAACGCAATCGCAGCGTTCAACCCTTCTATTAGGGCTTTCAACTCCATGCAATTTCGATTTTCTCCATTTCCAACAAACGGTTTTGACAATTCGAATAGCAACTGATCACTCGAATCGCAAATTGCAACGCCAATCCCACCGTAAACGAGCCTCTGGGCCCTTTGTTCACCCACACCTTTGAAATAAATATTAAAAACCTCTGTACTAACACTTTTGGAACTCCCTTCCCCGAACGGGAGCTCAAAATCATCTCCGTAATTCTCCCACTCGTCATCCGGCATCTGCGAGATCTCCAGGGCAAAGCGCTGGTCGTGAATCCGACGGTAGAGATCGTCTTGGATCTTCTTGAACTCTGTTTCGGAAATCCTCTTATCGTCGAGCTCCTGCTGGAATTTCAAAATCTCCTGTGACTGGGCGGCAGTGAAGTTAAAAGCATCGCCGATGGAGGAAGACTGTTCCAGGTCCGGCAGCCTCACAGGGGAAGCGGTCGACGTGGATGGCTGCCCACAAACAGAAGCATTTAAGGCTTCCTGGAGCTGGAGGTGGAAGGCGAAGTCCAAGTCGGACTCCATGGCTTGCGCCGCCAAAAGTTCACGACGCTGCTCGGTGGCTATGGCTTGGAGGTCCTCGGAGCCGGCGCCATACGACATCGTAATTCTGTAATCAACAGATTTACAGAAGTACTCGAAATTATATGTAATCAACCTGCCTTCGGCCCGTGGAGTGGAGTGTAGTTGGAGAAAGAGCATCTCCAATGCTAATGGCCTAATGCTATATCCCATGCTAATGCTAATGCTAAAATGTTAACGGTCATACGTGACATGGGAAAAATAATAAATAGACTATCTCTATCCTTATTTGAAGGATCTTACATCATTTTGGTAATTTTTTCTTCACAATGTCAAGCACAATGTCTAGATGTAGACATTGTGGTTGACATTGTAGAGAAAAACTTACCAAAAACACATACGACCGTTGAAAGAAGGAGAAAGAAATGTCATAAAATCAATATTTTGTGTGTATCTCTCTCATGCCACATGTGCACCGTGTACATTGTAGCATTGAAGATGCTCTAATGTCTCCCATAGTCCGCCCAATCCTCATGTGAATTGTGATCAAGTAGTTAAAATCCATTTTTTTAGGTGGTTTAAAAAATTAAAAATGAATAAGGGTGATGTGGGCAAATCTGCCGGCCCAAAGGTAATTGACTCGATCCTACCTTTCTTCTGGGAGGGTTGGAGATGGAGGCAACATATAAGCTCCGTTCGAACCTCTTCCGTTCGGCAGCTGTATCTCCATCCCCCGAAGATAACCTTTATCCCCATCTTGGGTTTCTTACCCAGATTCCCGACCCTTCGGCTTCTTCTCTCGGCTGAATGTATACGTCATTCTTCGGCTCGGCCTAACGCCGATCATCTCGTCTCCAGTTGTTGGACCTTTTGTTTTGTTTCTGGCTTGGGGGAGGTCCATTCGGGTTGTTGCTAACATACTTCCCCAAATGGCCCTGTTGAATCAGCTCCTCATTAGTAATCTGCAGTGCACAACAATTTTTGGTGGAGTGTCTCTTCAGCCTGTGATGGTTACAAAAGGCACCCTCTCCCCCCATGTAGGTCTTCATATCAGTCGGAGGGGGAAGGATGTCCTTCTCATTATAAAAAATGGTTACTATTGAGAGGAAGAGCAGGGTAAACCGCCTCGCCTTTGGTGGTGTGGCCACTGGGATAGGTCCCAACAGATCGGCCAGTCTTGTTGGTGCAGCAGGTGGTTCCATCCTGTCTCTAATCATGATTTCTTCTTCCAAGGTCTCGTGCTTCTGGGCCCTCTCCAGCACTTCAACATAACTCGTGGATTCTTCTTCAAGTCCCAGTAAAAAGGGTGATTCATGTATCCTCTGTCATGTTCCCGACCTTCAGGATCTCATCCCTCTATCCGGTCAAGAACTGGGTAATAGATTCCCTCGGCCCTGTCAGAGACTTGTGAGGTAGCTGAAGTGCCACTTAGGGGTGGCACTAGAAGCAAACTGTGCTAAGAACAATGTAGATAGTTCGGCAAAACTTTCGATCGATCCGGGCTGCAGAGTGCTGAACCACTCTTTAGCCGGCCCTGTAAGTGTAACGCCCCTCTCAGGGTTAAAGAAATCATTACACCAACTTACTACTTTTAAAAATAACGGCCGTCTATTTAAGAAAATAACTCTGATAAAATCTCAAAAGTAACTAAAACAACTCCAAATAACAACTTGATGAAATATAGTTATCACCAGGAAATGTGATAACCACCTGGATCCAGGAATTTGATAAAACTTCAAATCCTCAAATAAAAATAAAGTAATATAAATCACTTTATTATAACACTGAAATACTGAAACCAAAAATTATCTAGCTAGAAGCCGCCAAGGTCGTTCCCGTTAACTCATCTTGGCACGCGTCTCACTCCCTCATCATCTTTCTAGGCCTTGGCCTTACCCTTAGTATCTGTACATGCGAAGAAAGAAAACTGATAAGCTTTACGCTTAGTAAGTCACTATGGCTCCACAAAAATATCTAGAAGTCTAGGCCAATTTATCAATAGATAAATTTAGGCTATAAGCATGCACTGAACAAATAACTAACACATAACTTCTCAAATACATTTTGAGGGAGATCTCAAAAGGAAAATCTTTTCTAAAATAATTTGTCAAAACTGCTGGAGAGATCTCGAAATTTCTTTCTCAAAACATCTCTTAAAAACTTTCTGAAAGAGATCTCAAAAACAACTTTCTGTAAAATCTTTCTGAAAGAGATCTCATTAAACTTTCTGTAAAACTCTTTGTGGCTAATTTTACTCTGTGGGCCCGTGATATGTACTCAAAGGCGCCAATCCGACAGCTCAGGGGAGCGACCCACTAAACATATCGGATTCTCTGAAACTGATAACTGATAACTCTGTAACTCTGTGGGAACTTGTTCCCGAGTACATATCACTTAATCTTTCACTTTAAATATTAGTTCTTTTTATAGTGACATTTGGATATAAACATCATCAAATCTGAAAATAAAAGTACCGACAAAATCTTGACTATGCCAGATAAAACATAACTCAATACAACAAATAAAATAACTCAGCAAATAACTCACCAAGTTCACATAATAGCAAATAGACTAAAATCATCTATTAAAATCAACCAGACTTCTTTCTTTTATTTGGTTGAACAAACATGTACAGGTGGTAGTGAACTTACCTATTAGCAGCTGAAATCAAATTACTGAGATATGGATGGCACCTTGATAACGTCTTCCGATAAGCTCTTCTCTTAAAACTCTTTAATTAAATATAATAATTCTAATAAGAATCTTATCTTCAAAATACAACTGATTTGCTAGAGAGAATATGCTACTGATGCGCATTAACTATATGTAAAATTGGAATTGGCTATTCTAACCCATTCATGTACGTAATAAAAATGAAGTTCTACAATTTATGCTAATAAAAATGAAGTTCCAGCCGTATTAAAGAAATATATTATGCCAATTCTGGATATGAAAATGAATTTCTACAATTTAAAGAACTGTATGGGACACCTAACCGAAATTAGAGATCAACTACGTAAATGAAGGAAAAAAATTTATGCTTGGTCCAACCCAAATCTGCAAAATATAGCTACGAGTTTAATCTACTGCAAATTTATTTAACTATATGAAAAACTCTTCTACTAAAGCTATATACAGTAACCCATTGAAACCACTAGAGCTTAACTTTAAAGAAATCATTTTCCAGATGATCATACGCCATTAAAACTGTAACTAAACCTTTTAAATGGAAAAGAGCAGCAATTTTAGAAAATCAAATCTCAAAACTTTAGAACTGTGTTCAGCAAACAGGAAGCATGAAAGCAACGTAATTCAACTTACTTGATTTAGGATGATGACTCAAAATCAAGAACATTTTCATCAGCAAGATGAACAGGCTGAAAAATTGAAAAATTGGACTGTTTTCGTTGATTGAGAGAGAAGAAGGTGCAAGGTGCAATTACTATTGGTGGAAGAAAAAAATAAAAGGCGTGTATCTAACGCTCCTTAGGTTTTTTTTTTTTTAAACTAAAATACTATATCGGGCCAAGACAATTGATTTGGGTCTCTAGTCCTCTAATAAATACTTGTGACCAAACTGAATGACAATATTTTCCTTTCAATAATATAATGATTAGATATAAAATAAGTGTTTATATTTTCGATTAAAATTATTATGAGCTTATCGGTCAACGTTACCTGCCACAAACAAAACATGTTAAATATAATCTGTCACATTATTTATAAAAGAAACTTATTTAACTGACTAAAATCGATAATAATGATTTAACTAGCTCGCCAAATCGGGGTGTTACAGTAAGTGTGCTGAAGAACAACCTGCAAATCGCTGCCTCCGTGACCCCAAGTAGCATGAGGCCTCCATGATAACTCCATAAGTGTACATGGGGATCTTCTATCCCGTCGTACGTTAGGCCGGTCGATGGCCAGCAATCCCTCAAAATCTCAGCATTCATGATCTCCCTTGTAAAGGGAGAAATGATCCCAACTCGAGCTTGTTGGGGCTGTGGGGGCGTTCTGTTTACCTGCTGGGTCAATTCGACAATCTGCCTCCTCATAGTGGCCAATTCTTCACCATGAGCCGTTCGGAGTGGTGGAGTCCTTAGATCCACGAACTCTAGGGTCCTCTCTGGTGGAGGTGCTGCTGTCTCTTGTCGCCTTCATATAAATCATTCCCCGTCCCTCTCGACGTACTGGAAACTTTGACCGACCGGGTTCACCACGGGAGTGGGTTCCCTAGAATGAGCCCCGCGTCTTGGAACGAATGGGGTCGGTTGGTGGGAGTGTGTTGCCTATGCCGAGGAGTGTGGGCCCTCCAGTGGTTCCCCCACTTTTCCCGTGAATGCACTGAAGCCCAGGTGGTCTATGTATCATCGGTCTCTTCGTCGAACGATGGCATAGAACGGATCGGGGAGAGGGTGGAGTATTCCGTTTCACCGGTATAACTGGGTCGCCCCCCATCCTATTCGTCTGCCCTCCGGCGCTAGCATCGGCCAATTCCCTCATCAATTGAGGACTCATTTTAGCTGCATCAGGTATTAAGTCTTCGAGACCCACACTGAATCCCCGTGATGATCCTCCGCCGGCATGTCCCTATGTGGACCAGTCCCCGGGGGTCCTGCTGCCCCCTTGTCCAGAAGCGCCATTAGTGTGCTCCGAAGTGATCCTGACCATCTTGAAAGTAAGTAGCTTCTAGATGAGTAGTTTGCTTGAGATTTTGTTCAGTTTCCCACATACGGTGCCAATGTTGAGGTTAAGTCTCGCAAATCCGAAAGCCCAACACCAACTATGGATATTAAGGACGCTGCTTAAGTATAAAAGCGTTTAAAATATAAAAAGTGAATAGACTGCACTCGAAAGCCTGCTTGTATTAGAGTAATAATGTTGATTACACAGAACAGACCGGGTGGCGTAGCTCAACTGGTAGTGAGGGAGTGACACAAGGGTTAGGTCTCGGGTTCGAATCCCGACAACTGCGATGAGGGGTTACTATGCTGAAAAATGCATAGGGCTTCTGCAAGTACCGTGGACAGAGCCCCACTCTCTATCTGTCAGATTGTGATTATAATCCAATTTACATCCTCGCATCGTGCTTTCCGGTCGGTGTTGGGGGGCCCTCAGGGATGGGGTGTCATCCTTTTATGATTAAAAAAAACTTATACTTGGAATTGTTTGGATCCAAAAGAGCAAGATAATGTTTCATCCCGTTTGAACCACCTAACGCCTCATTTTAATATAGTAATCTGATTCATTTAACTGCAAGTGTATACAATATTGTAAGCTAGCCATAATTGTATTTCGGCTCCACAAACCATAAAATAACTAGAGCTATCAATATATCTAAATGTCAATTAATTCAAAAATAAATTTAATTAGACGTCCTTTTAATCCTTTGTGTCATTGGTACAAGCAGGGGTGGCGCCGTGGCGGACCGGCGGTAGAAGGTCATTCAAAATTCGAAAATTATTTGTATTTTTAGTCAAAAAAATTATCTAAAAATCTTTACAGCCCATCACGACCTTCGCTCGTGGTTATAATTATGTGCTCCTCCTTAGAGGTGGACTCGTTACGGCGGTCCGGCCCAGGCTAGAACCGGGTCTGACACTGTTTGGGATTGCGCGCGGTCCGAAACTTTTGGTTTCGGGCCTAGGACCGACCTATTCGCCCAAGAGCGGTTCATTGTCCCGGTTCACGTACTTGGGAACCAAACCGGGCGTTCCGGTCCCGGACAACCCTATTTTTTAAGCTTGAGATCGAGGAAAAACAAAAAAAATAACGGGCCCGGGTGGTCCCGGACCGCCTGGCTACCCAGAACTAGCCCAGACTCAGAAAGAAGCGGGTCAGTCTCGGACGACCAATTTTTTTTAGGTCGGGCGGTCTCAGCCCGAAACCGGGACCGGACTGACCTGGGTCCATCCCTATTCCTCATTGTTTTACTTTTAGTTTATTTCTCATTTGTCAACTGATAAGACATGACTAGCTAGGTTCGAGTCTATTTTCCTGAATTCTAGTAAGATTAGATTGTTAATCCTAAATAAGCTTGTCCATGACCATGATTAACAAATAATTAAATAAATTTAGTCGATGTTACACGAAAGGTATGAAATGGGGTGAGTTGCTGAATCGTGTGAAAGACTTGTAGTGGGTGTCACGTTTGGCTGGAATGTAAATGAGTGCCCACATATGTACGATTTGGAGAATAAAAAAAGCATGCATCAAAGGCAAGTCAATTTTAGAAAGTTAAAAGTCAAACGTAGCTGGAAAGGGTATCAATAACGAGTCTGGATTGGGTTTTAAAACGCGCCAGACATTAGCGACCTACAGGAAGGACGCACAACTGTTTCATTTTTCACTTGGGTCTTTGGTAAACTGGTGCGGTCCAATGATGTTTGGAATATTCAAACTCTTCGCATATTATGAAGCTACTAATTTATGCCCTCCCTTAACCCCTCCCTTAAACAATTATGGGTTTCAACATATTCCTTATAAAATAGGGAGTATATTTTTGTCTTTTCATATGAGCTTGTGATGCAAAAACAAATATTTTTAAATACGATGCGCAAAGTCTACTTTGGACAATAAAATGATATGCAAACTCAAGTTACCCCTTTACAATATCACAATTTAGAGTTTTGATAGGGAAAAAAACTAGATTGCTAAAGCTAGCTTGTCATCTGTTTGAATTGCAAAAGAAAGGCAAAAAGGAAATGAAGAAACCAAAACCCTCATAGATACATACATACTATTACACATCCATGTTTGGGTGCAAGAAAATTTTGTCAGTTAAATTCGCATAAATAGTTAAAATTGTTTCACTTCCATGACTCCGCCAAATTGGATTTTGTCAATTTCTCTAAAATTTCTCTTGTTCTCTAAAATTTTCTCACCTTCTCTTTATAATAAATAATACTCCGTACTATCGTACATAGCATTTGATTTTACTCATTTTTTGTTTTTTTTACCTAACTTTTAATCACATAATTTTCACATTTTTATCACACGTCTAATACAAACTTGACAAAAATCAATGAGACGGAGGTAATACTTTAATTTTTATTATCGACTTCTCGTATATGACTAGTGTATAGTACGTTGTTGAGCTGAGGCGTGCACATCACACGCTCATGTCGAGAGTGTGAAGTTCGTCCCAGAAGGAACCCATGTTGTCGTCTCCGCTGTCGTTAGAGAAGTACTCGCAATTGTGATCGTAGATGTCATTATTCCTGCCGTCAAAAGAACCGGAAAAGTACTGTTTTGGCGGCGAGGGAAGTGGTGGCGGAGATGATGATGACGATCGGACAGAGTGGTCGTGGTGATAGTTAAGGCGGGCGAGGAGGTTTGACTGTTGGTATTGCATGTTGACTACCTCGGCTTGAGCCTTGGCTAGCTGTTCCTGGAGGACGCTGACTTGCTTTTGGAGTTGGAAAATTGCTCCGGCGCAGCCGTACACCGGATCTCTCAGCCGTGCGTTCGCCTCGTACACCATGCTGCTCACGGCGTCGCTTCTTTCACTCTCCGGCAATTCCTAAATATTATGATCAAGACACATGGAAGAACACATAATTTAGTCATTGATAATTTTTTAAATTTAAGATGTAGTTGGACATGCATTAATGATAGAAAGAACAAATGTAGTGTCCCATAATTCTGGAATTGGAATTGGTTGAATTGGGCTGAAATGGATGAAATTATAGTTAAAATGGTTAAAATATGCTACATTGTGAGAAAAAATATATTAAAATATGTTTTCCAATAAAATTAAGAATAAAATATACGATAAAATAGTTAGAATGATCATCTATATTAAATTCAGTCAGAAAAACAATTTAAATTCAGGTTGAAAAACAATTTCAACCTTAATTATTGTTACTATTAATCAATTTAGCATCCGAAATTTATATGTAGCATACTCTATACCTCCGTAACACAAAGATCTTCCCATTTTGACTTTTCACGGTCTTCTAAGTTGAACTTTGACTCTAAATATCTACATATCTATATTTATAAAATTCATAATAAATTGACATTCAAATAATATGTTTTACAATGAGGTATATAAAATAAATTTTTAATCATAACATAATGTGAGTTTTGAATAATTAATGGTCAAAGTTTATAAAGTTTGACCCAAAAGAGTCAAACTGGGAAGATTCTAGAGTTACGGAGGTAGTACTTAGTAGTATCCGACTCCCGGTTTCTTAATTAGTGAATAGTTATAAAGGATATAAAGCAGGCTAGAAATACAAGATAGATAAGTAAAGGGTATTTATATATTTTCATAACATAATATTTGTTAAATTATGAAAGTAGGATAAATAATAAAAGGGGAACCCGTACGTTGTGGTATATTAATTGGTACCTGATTAATAAGTGATCTATGCACCTAAAATGAATAGCATCCACTGGTGTCATCAATTTATCATTTTCTTATATTTGAATTATCTATTTATGATAATGTTTTGATTAATGTATAGTAGAATTTGCACAATAATTTATGTAACAAACGTTTTTACAAATTTCGCAAGTGGACACCATATTTATATTCTGTAGTATCCATGTGGATAATGTGAACACCCTAATGAATAAAGTATGAACAAGATGCATATGGTTGCCAAAATAAAGATAATAAAATACATTGGTTGAAATTTTGTGACAAATAATTAAGCACGAATCTCAATTATGACTTTTCAAGGTACGAGGATGAGTTTATTAATGTGTGGAATTGATCGAAGTTATGACTAAATACTCCATTTTCATGAACGATGACAGATTATTTAGATTCTGAAATCTCTACTCTACTACCTCGTAGTATAACTAGCGCAAGGAAGAGCATTTCATTAATTATTATTTGTACTCACTAACAAAATACGAAACTGACGGAGTGTTATTCATTTTACTTTACAAATACTTCGTATGAACTATCTTGAATAAAACTACTTTAACTAAGTTTCATATATTTTATTTACTTTATTAATCTATATTTACGTATTTCAAATTGAATGTATACCTTAGGAAATTCGGTGAATTCAAATATAATACTCCGTATATATTATTATTTTCATCACACTAAACAAATTTTAGTAACAAAACACCACGCAAGTAAAAATTGATTTACCAGACCACAACAATCTATGAGACATGTTATTATGTTAAGTAACGATTAACTATAAAAAAAGACAATAGCTCACGTATGAAATTAAACCTTAAGGTTTAATCACAGGTTATAATATTATTGGGGACAGTTCCCGAAATAGTAGTAAAAATGTTGTTGAATAATGTCACAAAGCTGAGGTGATTAGTCTTAATTTATTTACAAAATAAATTATAATTATCCTGTTTTAGAATTAATTCACAGACTTTTTACTCCTATGAATTTCTTGAAGTATTACTAGTTAAATTAGGTAATACACATTTGGTAATTAGGTAACCACTAACTGCTCTCACCTAATCTTTCGACCACTACTATTAATCCAGTTGTCGTTATAAGTACATGGCATTGGGTTTGGAATAGTGTTACAAACGACGCAATATAGGGATTTGTATTTATTAGAATGTGTGTGCATAATTCTTTTAGAGACGTTTCTAAATAAGTTCTTATTTTATACCGGAGCATTTAGTTAAGAGATTTTTATTCTCAAATAATAATACCGGATTATATGCATGCTATAAGCATTAGTATTAAAATTACCATTTCGCAGTAATACTTATACTTACTCATAAAAAGTCGTATAGGAATTGTGTTGAAAATGAGTAAAAACGTTTTGAAATTCCAAAATAGAACATTCAAGTTTTTATTCCGTAAATATGAGTAATTTATGCCAAGGTTTGAAAAAGTTTGACAGGTACTGTCATGTTTAAAGCATGATAATACCAAACTTGACAGAAATTACCCTTATTTAGAGGATTAAAACATGACAGTCATATTTTGAAATTTTGAAACCTTTTTTTACTCATATTTAGGGAATTTTCCCAAAGTCCTATATATCTAATTTCTTTGTGCATCTTATACCGATTTAGCGATTTTATGAGAAAATAGTACTCTACCATAATTAATTTATGTTTTGAATGGACATGTGATTAATTAAAGAAGTGAAAATTGAATGGTCTAAAGTTTATGAATTACAATTTCGAAAGAAAAAATAATCTTTATTAAGAGAAGGTGAAAATAAAGAATGAAGTTTATTCATAGAGTAATAATGAGAAACTAACCTGCAAGAATTTGATGATATTGCTAGCGCCGAAGACACGGTGAGCGGTGGTGAACTTGATTGGATCATTGGGGGGAAAATACGGCGCCAGCACACATTTCCCGGCGCATCTCCGCCGCAAAACCTTACATGCGGCGCACGGGCTCACCACCACCGCCGGCAGCGGCGTGGTGGGGGACGACGGTGAAGATGGCGGCGAGACGGAGCGAGAAGATGTGAGCCGAGAAATGGTTGCCGCCGAGGTATCAGCTGACCTCATTATTATCTCGTCCGTATTTTGTTGATAAAATTTGAGAGCATGCAAATTAAAAAGAGATGGTTGATGTGTAAAACGTTTTGGTCGTTGAATGAGTTTATATAGAAGATAAATGAGCGAGCCTAGCTGGCCACTGTGGTCATAATTAATGTCATCACCTGTGAGTCTGTGACTTCAGATTTTGGTCATATTTCCCCGACCAATTTATCTCAAAATGAATTTAATTTATTTATATAATTAATTGATATAGTCTTTGTTTGGGTGAAGAGATAAATTTGGAATTTCGGATACATTTAAGTTTTTTTAGTTGATTAAAACATTATTAATTTGAGCGCTTTAGTTCAACTATTTAATTTATTGCGAGTTGAGGTTACGTTAAATTTGTTCTCCTATATTTAAATTTTATCTATTTCTGTGAAGATAAAAATGTGTCATCTTATATAGAGTGACTATATATTACGTAGTAATACTTTTAGTTACTATGACTTTGTTCATTTTTGCACTATAGTGACTATGATGTTACTATACAAACAATAGAATTTTGGGAAATAATGCCGTATCCTATTGGGTGCGTTGAGGTTATATTTATACTAAAATAGAGTTTACGGAAATTACAGAGTAATCCCTATAATTACATTATTACACTCCTTCAATCTGTGCAGGGGAAAACACGTGCAGATTGGAACGCAAAAACTCAAAACGCTGGCTAGATAAATTCTTAGTAAATATATCAGCTAACTGTAACTGAGTTGGAATGTGCTTGACAACCAAGTCGCCATGCGCCAAGCATTCCCGAACAAAATGATAGTCAATCTTGATATGCTTGCTCCGATCATGCTGAATGAGATTTACCACCAAATATGATGCAGACACATTATCACAGTAAAGTTGAACAGGAGCAGAAATAAAAATGCCCATATCGGCCAAGAGTGCACGAACAAAGAGTGTGTCCTGAACAGTATAAGCAATGGCCCTATACTCAACTTCGGTAGAGGATTTGGACACTGTGGGTTGCTTCTTAGACCGCCAAGATACTAAATTAGAGCCAAGGAACACGACATAGCCAGTAGTGGAGCGCGAGCTGTCTGGACACCCTGCCCAATCTGCACCAGAATATGCCATAATAACAGAAATATTTATGTCTGATTTAAGCCATAGGCCGTGACCTGATGTTCCCTGTAGATACCTGTAAATTCTCTTCACAGCCAATAAGTGAGTAGTACGTGGAGCATGCATAAACTGAGATACCAGATGAACAACATATGTAATATCAGGTCTAGTTATAACTAAGTACTCTAGAGCCCCTACCATGCTGCGATACTCAGTAGCATCAGATAAAAGTTCTCCATCTGTGAGGGAGAGAGCGGTGCGTGAGGGAAGTGGAGTATGTACCGGTTTGACGGTATGGAGATGAAAACGTTGTAAAAGATCAGAAACATATTTTTCTTGGGACAAGAAGAGGCCGCGAGATGTTATGCGGGCTTGTATACCCAAAATATAATGAAGGTCTCCCAAATCCTTCATAGCAAATTGTCGAGACAGAGTGTGAATAATAGAGTTAACAAAAGAGGGAGAAGAGCCTGTGATCAAAATGCCATCCACATACAATAGAATATAAACAACAGTGGTCTGCGATCGATAAATAAACATAGATGAATCAGATTTACTCTGAGAAAAACCATGACTCAATAGAAAACCACTGAAGCGATGAAACCAGGCCATAGGAGCTTGTTTAAGACCATACAAGGTCTTACGCAGCCGACAAACATGTGTAGGAAAGGAAGGGTGAACAAAGCCTTGTGGTTGACGCATATAGACTTCTTCAGTCAAATGACCATGCAAAAAAGCATTTTTCACATCAAGTTGTCTAACTGACCAACCCAAAGAAACAACAACTGACAGGACAAGACGAACCGTGGTGGGTTTGACAACAGGACTAAAAGTTTTAGTGAAATCGATGCCAGCCTGTTGTTTAAAACCCAGAGCTACTAATCGAGCTTTATGCCGCTCAATAGACCCATCAGAAAGATATTTTGTCTAAAAAATTCACTTACATCCGACCACATTTTTAGTATGGTCCTAGGGTACCAATTCTCAAGTACCATTAGCAATTAAAGCATTAAATTCATCAGCCGTGGCTGCCCGCCAAACTATACTCTTATTAGCCTGTGTAAAACAAGTGGGATCATCGGGGGGAGCAGTAGTATTTAAATGAAAAATGGTTTTTGGTTTAAAAAATCCATCTTTTGCCCGAGTACGCATAGGATGAATGTTCATGGGTGGTGGTGGTGTACTGCTTGGTTGGAATGAGACGACATTCTGTCCGTCTGCCGCGGGTGTCGGTGTACCAGCTGCCGAGGGTGTGGACAGGCTGTGGGAGGGCTCGGCATGACTGGCTTGGGTAGATGGAGTGGTTGGTGAGGCTGGTTCGGATGGAGTAGGTGTCTGGTTCGAAGATGGTGCCGGGGTTATATCCTGGAAAGAATAGGGGGACAAATCGGGTGAGTGACTAATGTTGTTGGTCGGTGTAACCAGCTGGGAAGGTGGCTGAGATATGGCGGGAGATGATTTCCAAGAAAAGGGTAAGGGCGGCGGGGATGCATCGGGTGTAGTAGCGGGCCGGGTGTATTAGCTAACATGGGATAAGGAAAAATATTTTCATGAAAAATAACATCCCGACAAATATAAACCCGACTCGTGGAAGGAGAAAGACAACGATAGCTCTTGTATCCTGGGGCATAACCAAGAAAAACACAGTGTATGGAGCGTGGTGATAGCTTATTATGAGATGCAGCGATGAAGTTGGGAAAACAAGAGCACCCAAAAACTCGTAAAAAATTATAATCTGGAATTTTATTTAAAAGTTTTTCAAAAGGAGTAAGCCAATTGAGAACTGGTGTAGGAAGACGGTTTACAATAAAAACAGCCGTATATAACGCATCTACCCAGAACTGACCAGGAACAGAGGAATCAATCAACAAAGTTCTAGTTAATTCTAGTAGATGTTTATGTTTTCTTTCAGCTGCACCATTCTGAGCAGGAGTGTCAGGGCAGGACTTTCTAAATAAAATTTCAGAGTTTAAAAAATGTTGTTTAAAGACCGAGTTATCAAACTCCCCGCCACCATCACTTTGAAAATTTTTAATTTTCAAATCCAAAAGGTTTTCAATAAGTTTTTGAAAATTACAAAAATGAGTAAATACTTCAGATTTTCTACGCATAGGATATATCCAAGTATAACGAGAAAAATCATCAATAAAAGACACATAATATTTAAATCCAAGATTGGATAAAATTGGCGATTGCTAAACATCAGAATGTATAATTTGTAAAGGTGCAGCAGAATCATGAAGAACATCCTTGAAGGGGAGTCTGTGGGATTTTCCCAACTTACAAGAAACACAATCATGTAAAAAAGAAGAAGAACTAGTAATCAATTTTCGCTGCCTAAGACTACTAAGAACTCTATCACCATAATACCCCAGACGCTTGTGCTAGACTGGACCAGGGACAACACGGGCTTGGAGGGCATGAAAAGGGTAGACATGGTCTTTATTGGTTGCCTGAAGAAGAAGCTCCCCTGTTTGATTGTCCTTAACAGAAAAAGAATTTTTATTAAAAATTACTTCACTGGCATTGTCCGCACACAATTTTTGTATAGATAGTAAATTATATTTAATGTGAGGGACATGATAAACTGAGTTAAGATTTAGCGGGCGACCATGTGTGACAAGCTTTAAATGACCAATATGAGAAATAGGCAATTTAGTATCATTGGCAACACATACATGATTCGGGCCAGTGTAAGGAATTTTAGAAGAGAGAATACCTTCATGAGGAGTCATATGCGCGGAAACCTCAGAGTCAGGGTACCAGACCGAGTCATGTGTCTCACCGGTAGGCAAAGCAGCAAGTGCAAGAGAATTATGAGCAGTGAAACGCTGACACGTAAGAGCTGAGTGACCTGGAGAAAAGCACAACTGGCAAACAACTGGGGGAGGTGGAGACTGATAAGACTGATCCACAGATGGAAAACCTGCACTGACGGTGTGAGTAGCAGAAATAGGAGAATAAACAGTACAAGTATTACCAGAAATGATATTACAAAATACCGAACCTGGAACTCCAGAAAATGCAGGTGCACGTGGCTGTGGGGGGGCTAGCTGCTGGGGATACATCCCGTATGGTTGCTGAAACTGTGGAGCCCTATACGGCTGCTGTTGGTGGTGGTAATAGCCACGGCCTCCCCTTCCTCGACCGCCACGAGCTCGCCCCCCTCTCAGTCCGCGACCAGCAGGAGGGCGCTGACCACCCCGAGGACCAGCAGGCGGGCGCTGAGTAGGTGGTGCGGGCTGTGCAGCGGCTGCAAAAGCTTGATGCACCGGGCTGGATTTCTGGGCATCCAGAAAAGCATTGTGCCGCTCTTGTGCTTGTAGAAGTGGCCCCAATTTCTCCAAAGTAGCATCCCCCGGAAAATAATTTATGGTCGTGATGAGGGACTCATAACCACGTCCCAAACCAATAATAGCATACTCAATCAAGTCTTTTTCACTCACCGGAGAATTAATAGTGGTTAAAGCATCTGCTAAAAGATTAATTTCCAACAAATATTGCTCCATTGTCTGTGATGATTTCTTTTTAATATGAGATAAGGAATTATTGAGTTTTATGGAGTGTGAAAAACAAGCAGACATGTAACGTTGTTGTAACCGTTCCCAAAAAGCCATCAATGAATCTCTAACAAGGGATGCAAAAAGCCATGAACGCACAATTTGGTCAATTTTCAACCAGTGATGGTAATCCTGGACAGTAGATGGTGGAACCGGAATGGACCCATCTAAAATCCCTAACAGACTGTGGGATACTAGAATGGATTCAAACTGGGTCCACCAAGGCTAATAATCCTCAACCGCAAATAAACGAGTAGTAACAATATTATTAACATTCGGTGTGGAGAAAGTAAGTTGAGATGCCAGGGAGGATAAAAAACTCGGAGGTTCCGGAAAACCTGGCAGTTGAGAGTTGCTGGCTTGCTGTATAGGTGCGATGCCATGATGTCCGGAGAATGTCGGTCCGGAAAAG